AAATTATAACAATGTTTCTCTGATGGAAATTGCATATTCCAATAAAAATTTGAGAACAATAAACTGTTGGTGTATAATTCGGCAGAATATTATTATTCTCCATTCTAATTATTTATTGAAAATTATAACGTTGGAATATTATATATTGAAATCTATGTTGTTGTTGTTGTGTTTTTCCATTGGAGTATGATAATTTTTTTAGTGTAACTTCTGATAGAATATTATATATCATAGATACTTAAACCTACGTCAGCCGTTTTATAATGTACATATAATTATAACAAAGAAAAGAAAACATTAATTAATAAAAATAATTGAATACTTCAGGATGTTAGTTGAAATATATATTGCACACTATAATCTAGCTACAGTCACATGTCATAAATTATAATAATTCCTTAATATTTATTTTTAATATAATTTAAATATGTATCACATTCACATCATATATATATTCAATAATAATTATCCCTACACCCACGCATCATTTTATTAAGTGAATCGGTATTCACCGTCCGTCCGTCCCCGCTTATTACTACGCATCGGCCCTTTTGACGATTTTGCCTCTTTTTTTTTCTAAAAGTTTTAGAAAATTATAAAATCCTCTGGACCAGGCGATTTCCGTCAAAAAATGTCTTCGAGATACGTTTACCGACCGTGTGGCCGAAAATTGCGGACAGACATGGTGCTATCAGACCGAAAAACGCGGACATGCATGGTGCTGTCCGGCCGGGCTTTTTGGACAAGACCATGCACGCCCGTCTTTGGAGGCCGGACGAACCATGCGTGTAACACCCCTCCTTACTATAAAATCAGAGTGCGCTAATTTCGCAAAGTTATTAAAAATAAAACCGTTTTACTTCGCGAAAACTGATTCGGGGTGCTACCTTTTAAAATCGTGACTTAACTTAGAAAAACCGTTGTTTTAATTTAATAAAAATATCCGGTTACTGAAAACTTAATTTTCTTAAAAGTTCGTCAAACGAGTACGTCAAAAGTCATCAAACCATCATGACAAATCATCAAAACATCATAAGCGGAAGCGTAAGTAATAATCATATTTATACAGTCCAAAACATATATAAATATCCTGAAAGTCCCGTCACGTCATGTCACGTCACGCTCCCGGTCCGACATCCTGACCTGAAAAACATGATAAAAATGGGGAGTGAGCACTAAGGCACTGTGCTCCGTGGAAACTCATACTAATGTAAAAACATTGTAAATAATAACAATATTATGAACTAAGCATATATAACTGAACTGAAACTGATATCTGATACCGGTCTGAACTCGCGACATAAGTCACGTAACTGATAACTGATCTCGTGACATAAGCCACGTAGTGA